AGGAGTGCTCACTGGGTTGGCCTCTTGCATTCCGAACCGCTCTAGAAGTGTGTTCGCGTAGTGCTCCTGTGAAGTGGCCAGGGTTCCTTGCTCGTAGTCCCGCTGCACGTCGATCCCGAGGATCCGCTTTACCTCTCCCATGTCGGCCATCTCGAATCGATCCGTGAGCTCCTTATTCTTCTGGTCCACGAGCTGCTGGTCTCCTCCTGTGATAAGAATGTCGTCTACGTAGACCGTGAGAATCACGATGATGTTGCCGCTGGTATACACGTACACGCAGGGGTCGGATTGAGTCCTTTTCCATCCGAACACCGTGAGGGATTCGTCCAGGGTGTCGTTCCAGACCGCAGGCGACTGCGATAGGCCGTAGAGGCTCCGTTCTAGTTTGTACACCATGGGTTCTCCCGTCGCGGAGTTCTTGGCGGATGTACCGGGGGCGGGTCTGACGTACACATCTCTGTCGCAGAGGGCGTTCAGGAAGGCACCGACAACGTCCAGTTGGTAGATGGGCCAGTTGTTGTGGCAGCCAATGGCGCACGTCATGCGAATGCTCCCGATACGGCATACTGGTGCGTAGCTGCGTCCGTAGTCCTGTCCTGGCTCTTGACGATGTCCTCCGACTACCAGGCGAGCTTGGAAGCGTCCGTCCAGATTTTTCTTGAAGACGAATTTCGTTCCGAGGATCTTCTCTCCCTTGGGAACGCTGCTGAGGGGCACCAGATTGTAGACGTTGTGTTTCCGCAGATTGTCCATTTCCTTGCTGCACGCTCCTTTCCATTCTTCGCGCTGGGGAGAGCTCATGGCTTCGTCGTAGGTGTTGGGGATTTTGATCGTTTGATTCGTCTCCTCCAAGATCCCGTGGTTTTCATGATTGGTCGTGACGTAGGCGTGAGCACGCGGCACCGTGAAGGGGTCTTCCGCGACGTGGGCGAAATCCTCAGTATCGCCAGGGCATGGGAGCTGGGCTTGATCGGCTATCTCAGCCAGCTGAGTGAAGGAAAGACCGGATGGCTC